CACGACATAACTTTATTATTGCTCCGTGTATTTAAATATAGATTCCAGACGTTTCTTTTTTAAGAGAAAAAAAAACATTACATGATCGGATCTTTTTTTCAGTCCTGTCCTCGCTGCCGCCAAAAAATAAAGTTTATTTTAAAGTCCTTCTTTGAAAATCGCCACCATAATGCTTCTTGCCGAAAAAAAAACACCTCTTTAAAAATGCATCACCACAGTCTTAAAGCAAAGCCCACACTCCGCACAAACGCACCAAAAATGAGAAAAATTAAAAATTTCCAACCCATATTCACCCTGAAACTTTCTTAAATTAAAAATGACGGGAAAAATAAAGCAAAAAGAAAAAGATATTTAACACCAATCCAGCCACGAACCGCTGACCAACACGACGCCGGCTTTGGGGGAAAAAATAAAAATGAAAGTAAAAAGGTTACAACGCCAGTGGTTATAGGAAAAATCTGTTTTTTTTTTGTTTGCTTAAAGGAGGAGACTTTCTTTAAAAAGAAATCGCAAAAAACTGCAGCAGACGTGTAAAACACAGCGTAGCTTTCGCGGTTTTTAACAGTCAACAACAAACCACCTCCGTTTCAGCCACCTGAAAAAAAAATAAAAATCCAAAATATTTCACAAAGTTAGCAAAAAAACCCAAAGGCTTTTCCAAATCAAAATACTCACCAGGGGCTTTATTAATTGTTTTGTTTTTTAAAAATGTAACAAAAGTCGACGGCTTTCTCTTTTTGTGCTCAATTTCTCTCCCTATAAAGTCTCTGTTCTCTGAGAACCGCCGACGCTCGAGCTCCTCTCGCGAAATGGCGGTCGCTACTCCGAGCTCCCTCCCCCTCCGCCGTGCCTGCTTCCATCCTATTGGTCGGCCTCGGGGCCCGCCCACTCCGTTCCCGTCGGTAATTGCTCCTTGGAGGTGTCGATTTCTACTGACGTCACCGCCTCCCGGGAAAGGACCTTGGCTGCCCTTGGTGGTGTCGGACGTCAGTCAAGTGGAGGGGCGGAAATCGGGGCCTCGTCCCGCCTCGGACTTCGTTTACCTGAAACTATTGGTTTCTTCACACGCCAATCATTGTGCGGCCCAATCAATTTGTGCTCCTGCAAAATCCCTTCGAGTAAAAGGCCTTCTCTCCTTACAAATGATCGTTTTCCTTGTGTCTAAAGCCAGTGGTTTCGCACTTGGAGGTGAGGTGGCGGAATGGTCACATAAGTTGATCCCGAACGATTTTATAAAGGGCAGACTTTTCTTTAATCTTGCCTTTGAACGGCCAGAAACGGTCGTGCAATTTAAATGTATTATCTTTTCTTTCTAACACGAGTTCTGAA